TGGATGGATGGATGGATGGATGGATGGATGGATGGATGGATGTACTGCTTTTCAGAATCTGACCCAGACATTTTCTTGATGTGAAAGCGTCATCACAGAGCCATAGACAGACAAACAACCATTCACTCTCTCTCTCTCACCTAGGAACAATTTAGAGTTACCATGAGTCTAACATGCATGTTCTTGGTCTGAGGAAACCGGAGTACCCGGAGAAAATGCACACATGCACGGAGAGAACATGCAAACTCCACCCAGAAAGGTCCTGGGCTGAGATTTGACCCAGAAGAAAGTCAAAATGAAAACATTATAATTTTTAAATATTTTATTTTACCTTTAAGTAAGAAAAAAATGACAAATCTGACTGAAAATTAAAGTTTTGTTTTTTTTCTAAAATAAACTCAAGAACCAAAAATCTATAAAATAAAATATTTTGTGTGAAATTTTGCCTTAAAGTTGATCAAATAACTTTAGGACATAGAAAATATCCAAAGTACATTTTAGATGGGGGTGGCACGGTGGACCAGTTGGTAGAGCTGCTGCCTCTCAGCAAGCAGGCTGTCCCAGTTTGGTTTCCTCCCACAGACCAAAAACATACATGACTGACTGGTCACCTGCTTCGGGTGTTATCAGCCATTAAATGGCCGTTATTAGTTGTTATCATCTCTATATTGTAGCGGTCAGACTGCCCCTCCTGTCCCTCCTAGTGGGTTTAAAGGTACGTTGTTAGCGATGATAATAGGCTCTGTTTTTACCTTTGTTCTTGGTTAGGTTCAGGCACAAGGGTAAGGGGGTTAAGTTTAGGGTTGGTCCTCTGGGTCAGGTGTAAACTTAATTTTAGGGAAAGGGTTACATAAGCTGAAAACAACTAAAAAGACACTTCCTGGTTTACCCCCGTATGACGCTGCCTATTATCAGCAATAATAACGATAATAACGTACCTTTAAACCTACTAGGAGGTAGGTGGGACAGTCTGACCGCTACATAAGGGGATGAGAACAACTAATAACAGCCATTTAATGGACTGATAACATCCGAAGCCGCTCGATTGGTCACTCTAAATTGAGAGAGAGAGAATGAATGGTTGTTTGTCTCCTTTGTCTCTTTGTGTCCCTGTGATGGACTGGAGACCTGTCCAGGGTGTCCCCCGCCTCTCGCACAGAGACTGCTGGATATGGGCACCAGTGACCCCCGCAACCCAAACATGCAAGAAGTGGGTAAAAGATGATGGGTGGATGGAGCGTTGCAGATGGTGCACACCAAACCAGTAACAAACACGTTCACCCAAATACAAGAAAAGAGGAAGTTGCACCGCAGCAGCAGCTCCAGCTGACTGTAGAGGAATCGAAGCAGAGCTCGTCTGCTGAGGACTTCAGCGTGGCAGTCCCTGAGGGTCCAGCCAAGCTCACTCAGGTGGTCCAGGTCCAAACACTTGGTCCCTGTGGCCAGAGACACGACCCGGGAGGATCTGAGGTCAAACCCTGTGAGATGTGAGAGAGGACGACGTTGCTGAATTGACTGAGGGCTAAGATTGTTGCAAGAACTCCATAAATGTAAATATGATAATTAATCTTTAAATCTGACAGTTAAGCAGTGGATGAAGGTGGGTCAGCGTTTGAATTTGAATATTGTGGTGACAATATAAAACCAAAAGACAAGACTTCAAGCTACAAAACACAACCTGAAAATAAACACAAATAATAAGAAGAATGTTTTGTTTGAGTTGTGTTTTCTTCCACTCACCTCGGGTCACCACGATTCCTGCCAGAACCTTGTGATGAAGATGTGAGGTAGAGGAGCAGCTGTCAATCAACTGTGAGTATTTCTCTTTTACCAAATTGTAGATGAATTCTGCAAAGAACTGCAGAAAGAATGGTGTTGGGAACAAAACCAAAATGTTCTGTAAGAAAAACATGTTGCTGTTTCTGACAGATTTTTATTTTTATCATGTTCACAAAACTCTGTTGATTCTGCTAATTATTATTTATGTTATACTTTTTGAAATTAAATAAGTATTTTAACATTGACAGATGTACAACTGCTTAGTGTAAGCTGAATAGGAAATCCATTGGGCTCTTTTTTTTTTTTTTTTTTTGGCTGGGGGGGGGGGTGGGGGGTGGGGGGTGTTATCCAGCTTCTTAGGATTTTTTATTTAATGTTTCTAAGCTGATTTGCTGATGTTGAAATAAGTAAGTAAATAAATAAATAATGCTTGAGTTAGTGACAATACAAAGTTTAAATGCAAAATAGTAAATTCAGAAATGTCTGCTGCTCACAACATCCCATAATAATCCACAAGACGTCACGTTATTGTTTTCAAACAACAGATACTGGATGGATGGATGGATGGATGGATGGTTGGATGGATGGATGGATGGATGGATGGATGGATGGATGGATGGATGG